GTTAAAGGGAATTACAACTATCTTCAACTTAATCTGGATTAATTTTATATAAAACATGTAGCTTTTAGGCTTTGTATAGTTGTAAAAAGAATTACTTGTCAAATATTATATATTAAAAAATAAATTTTTCAGTTTATGTTAAATATATTTTTTTAATTTATGTAATGAAAAAATATGTATAATATTTGTGAGGTGTAACTGGAGCCGTAGACGACGACGGACATTTTATGCAAACAAACGGAACTAAACCCAAGTAAATATTGGTAGAGGACCAGTTGTTTACTTTAATTCTAGAATACTATTTTATTGCAATTTTGCCTAAGTGTTTTCTTAAGGGTCAGATATAATGTAATGGTATTATGATCGACTTGTCAGTAAGAAAACAATAAATATGAACTGTTCGTAGCTGTTAATGTGATTCAATTAAAACAAAACTGTTGAAAGGAACGTCGAAAAATGAAACAAGAAAACTAAAAACAGTTTTAATTTGGTCTGTTCGTAATTCTCTTGAGACTAATCTCCGAAGTGACACAGAAACTTGATGCAGTAGGTTCATTGAAAGAACTTTGTTTATTTTGTGAGGTCGCTGACATTCGTCCTCTTCACCTCCTTCATCACGTTTCATAAACCTTTCACCTACTTGTATACAAAATGAGCCTTTGTGCTGCTACTCTTGATTCATTCGTCAGAGTATAGACTGGTCGGTTGTGAGCGTCACGACCGCCGACAACTTTCATTACCTATAGCATTATGTATTTTCTGATAATACATATATTGTAACATCAAAAACTACGGTTCATTCCAAATAATTAAAAATTCTTTATCTACATTCATTGTCACTAATAACGTTAAAAAAGACATTATCGGTCTATATTTTGGTGACTTTAGGAAGGTCTGGCTGTATAACTATCTGTAGAGGAGGAACTCTCACTGTATTTTCGAGTCCCCAGTACACAGATATTATCGTTGCAGCACATTCTATATCCAAACTAATCACCAACTTTTCTCTCATCTCCGTTACGAAAATAGCCGATACATTGAGAAACTTTAGTGATTGTAACTTCGTTAATTTTCTGTGCGAAAATATTCTTGTAGAAAAAAAAATGCTGTGAATAACGAATATAAGTTTTTACAAATTCATGAGTTTCTCATACTCTTATTTAGTTTCAGCCAGCCATCTCTATAAAGATATTTTTAAAGTTAAATTTCCAATTCAGTTTCCAATTATTTACTCCGAGTTTCAATAACTTGAGGGCAAAGAAAACCATTAGAATGATTATGGTTAAAAAAGAATGTATATTGCTATTAAATTAAGTGGAGTTTTATTGGACTTCTATGCAGCTAAAATAACTAGTTGGTGAAGATATGCATTTAGCGATACAAGCATATATAGTCGACGAACTAAACCGCGACCTTTGTTTAAACGGCCCTTTGTCTCGTGTGAGAGCAATTACTCCGGACACGTAAATATTTGTTCTAAATTGTAATGACGCTCTTTAAGTTGGGAGCCAGTATTCGTGAAGCCAAAGTATTGGTCATGAATAGAGAATGATTTCTATTAAAATGTTGTATTGTTCTATTACTGAGAAAATTTCTATTAATGAGTACTAGAGTATTTATATCCCTTGTGAGAATAGCTTCATACATTTTATATAATTTAGATCTCAAATTTCCAAAGTCTGGGTTTTATTTCTTTGCAATGATTAGCCTTATGGAAATGAGCAGGTAGGAGCATAGAAAACTCATGTCAATATTCGAATATGTCTGTAATGTTTTTGTTTATTTTTACAGTATCGGAAGAAGTAACTAGAAATTGTGAAACGACCTCATATTCATCATGGTTACGTTAAGAGTTTACATATTACCAATAGTTATAAAAGGTTTATTAAAACTTACTCAAAAATTAATAAATAACGTAACTTCACAGGAGTGCAGTAATCATTAACAAGATCTAAATTTGTATATGAGTTGATGGTCGTTAAACTATGTTCTGGCTACTCATATGTATATTAAAAATCAATGACAATATGTACTTTTATTAACTATTAACTACATATTGATTTTTATTGTTATAATAATCTATATAAATATGTAAATAAAATAGTAGTGTCTGTTTGTAATATTGAAATAACTGTTTTTTACTACATGTATACATATGGTACAGACATCATCAAAACAACAATTTTTTATAATTTTTAGTGCGTTTGTTTGTTCCGTATAATCTCTGAAGAGGCTGGACCGATTGTGACTAACTTACGTTTAAATTACTCTTATAACAAAGGGGAGCACGTTAAGCACATGCCTGATCCGTTGTCCCATAGAGGGGTGGCGTGTAGTTCACGCTGAATGTCACTGACCTATTAAAACTCTTCCTTTAAAACAGCGGCAAGTGCGTTTGTGTTAGAATTTAAATCACTATATAATGCACTTATTATATTTAAGTAATAATTTGAATGCATTATGAAATATGACTATTTCGAAAGAAATCTTTTCTTGAAGCAACAACAAATGATCAGCTTTGTCTTATAAATGAATCATTAATCATTATACAAAAAAAAAAAACTAATGTTTACAATCTCAGAGATCTTTCTGTGTCCCTTAATATAACACATAGTAAATTATGAATAAAATGGAATGTAGACATGTAATGTACGCTTTTTCAGCTTTTAACAAGCGTTACAATGCAATTGAAATACATATATATAATTCTAACACAGGAAGTTTTAATACTGAAATATTTTGTAGATGTAGTAAATCCAGCCTGTATGGATTTGATTATTAACTCTGATGTAAATATATTGGTATCTTTAAACGATATATTGGATTTTCAACTTTAAACCTTTTTGTTTTTAGAAAAGCACATGAACTAGTCAGTATTTTATTATTCTTAGATGAAATTAATCTGTACTTAGTAAAGTGTTTTTCGTATGGGATTATCAACACTTTGCAAATCCTATACGGCTATACTGTAAAGCTCTTGGACACAACGTCTTATTGAGGCTTAGTGAGAGCAATCAATATAAGTGTCGGATGTTGGGTTTGGTGTGGCGGCGGAAGACGGTCTTGTGCACCGACGGGCGTCGACGGTTAGAAGGCTTAATGTGTTGATACTCCTTACAGACAGCGTGTACAAATGTTACGTAAACATAAAATAATGATGTAGAAAAAGTCTCCTTAAGTACATCGCACTAGGTATAGCACCAATAAAGGTCAGAGATCTCTAAGATAATAGAACAAAAATTATAAAGCAGGCTTTATACAAAGTAAAACCAAATTAAAGTAAACATGTTAACACTTTGGTTTAGAATATTGAACTAGAACAAATCACAATTAAATAGAGGAAGAGTTATAAAAATAGTTATGACTGATCACGGAAAACATCAATCCCGTTGTTATGTTAAGATTTGCCAAAAAAGGAAAAAGGAGAAGAAAAAAGATGTAAGAAAATTTTGGTGGCCTTCATAAATATCTCAAAATTAGTAACGTTAATATAACACCGAGTCATTTATATCGAAAATTTTACACGATAAAATTTTAAATTTCAAAACAAATAATATTATAAGTATAATTATATTTTTATTACTGAAATAATACGTATCCGTATGATAAAACTACTCATAAAAATACTGTTATTTTTTTAGTAAACTTTAATATATGTTAAATATAAAGAATACAACGTGAATGTAGATTTAGTAAGTACTTGTAACTGAGATTTTGATAGAATTTGAGGAGAGCATCTTGACTCCACAGACGGTGAAATAATAAGAATAGTGTTAGGTCACTGACATCTTTTTTCCATATTGAATACTTAGTAAAATCAAACGAAAATTATTTATATATATTATTTATACCTGTATAAGTAAGCTGTATATGAAAAGAATAAATGAAATCATTTAGGTACAGTCACATAACACATCCGAGACTATGTCCTTGATTAGTACTATTCCACTATTTACTCGAATGTAAAAAGCGATCCACTAGTTTCAGCAGTTTGAAGGAAATTATAAAGTTTAATTTTTTCCTGCTGTGAATCTGAAGAAATACATTGGGAATGAAGAAAAGACGTTCAACACCTTGGTTGAATAAATCTGAATTCTAATATTTCTATATTTGAACTAAAAAAAAAGTCGCAAAAATATAGTAACTATAAAAACAAATATAACATTAGTTCTTGACTGTTAAATATAAAAAAACTATTACGACGGGCTCAATAAAAGTAAAGTAGATAAGAGAGAATAATAATAATCATTGTACCTTATTGATTGTATTTTCATTAATATACATATATTTTGTTTGGTAATTATGAGTTTGTGAAGCGTGGGGATTACCTACATATACTCAGAATACATAATAATCTAAAAACACATATGTATTATTAATTAATTTATTGGCAAATTGCGATAAATGGAGTCTCTAAAATATTTGACTCCCTGTGTGAAAAAAAAAACAATAAAATTTAGTTACATATTAAGAAAATACTAAGAGAAAAGTAAATATTTAAGAGGCTTTGGCTAAGGTTTGAAAAATAAATGAGTGAAGGGGTCCTTAGGAGTGGCGTAATAACGTTTTGAAATGGCGTTAATCAGTAATTATGAGAGTAGGTTTACACCTTTTGATAAGAATTGAATTTTGTATTAATTTTATTTACGTCACGCTTGATTCCTTTTGATATTAAATTATTAATTTTCTTTATAAGAGGGTTTGTTCGACTTTTAACTATTAATTTATTAATTTCCAATTATGGGTTTAAGGGCATTAAAAATGGATGATCAAATTACTAGTAACGTGCATGTATATTAAGTAAGTTTCAAGGAATCCTATTTATAATGTTATATTCTGTTCTTGATATATGAATTATAATCGACATTGTATTCAGTAATATTTCACATGATTACGTCACGTCTATAAACAGTATCGTTTTTGTAAACTACACCGCATTAATAACACCGAAGGTCGTACTAATCTGATTGATGTGCAATTTATTATAATAGTACAAAGAAATGCTTTCTATGGTGTCGGAAGGTTGCGCGCGCACGATCCTACACTACGCTCTCGGTATTCGGCAGGCACTCTCGCTCGAGTCGAGACGAGCCTCGGACGTTGTAGTAAACGTTTTGACGGAGGAGCGAGTCGACGAAACTTTCGCACGTGAAGTGACTGTGAGCTCGGTGATACTGGGAGTTTGTGGAAATACTTTCATTATTATAGTTAGTTTATAAACTATTTGAGTTATTCTAAGTAACTGTTTGTAATTTCTGTGAAAAGTGAGCAGACTTTCTTCCCGCTGATGTTTCTGTAAGTTTGTGCGACATTAAATTAAGAATTTATAAATTATAAATATGTTAATAAAGAGGACAGCACTTATAATAATTTATTACTATTATATTAATAAGTATCGAGGATATTAACGACTGTATAATAAAATTAAGACATCTTTTCATTTATGGCTGCCAACTGAGATAATTAAGAAGCCATAGCTGAGAGTAACGGTTATTGCTCTGAACGTAATTGACAATATTTCTTTCTTTGGCACGCGTTCATTACATCCGTGAACATAATTACTTCGAGCCATCCAAGAACTTTACCAAAGCACTCTCTCTCAAACACAGGACGGTAGATAAGGATTAAGGTCGATCGACTCAGACATTAAACAGTTCTTTTGACAATACTCTGAAGAAATTGGTGGGTGGTCCTTTACATCTTAATTTAAATTCAAAGGGCTTCAAATATTTCTATGAAATTTTCTATTCATTCTGTAATTATTGAAATATGATGGAATTAAGTTAAACCATTATAACCAATTTCACTGTTATTATGATCATTTATTTTTTATTTATTTTGAATATAAGTTTTGTGAAAGGTCAGGAAGGTCGAGAGGAAATAATTTGTGAAATTGATAAAAGTACTAATTAAATAAATGGTAAAGTTAATTTTAGGAATAGAGAAGTGAATTCTCTTCAGACGCTCAGTTCACAAAGTTTTCAATTGTAATTATCGCCAATGGCAATTCTCTGCAGACTTCTTAATTACAGGTTGTCGCACTCCTTATGAATTTTAATGAATGGAAGATTTTTTTTCAAATTTCACATTTTTTATTAATTTATGAAAAACCAGTTTAAACCAATACAGTCAGGTTTTTTATTTGATTCATATTCCATTATTATTGAACATTTTTATTATAATTTTGGAAAATATTCAGTTTTGGAGGTTTACGCAAAAAAAAATTATATCTAAAATGTATATTATGTTAAGTTTTCTGTACTCTTTCCACGAGTATACAAAGTGTAACTTAATACTATCAATAACCATTTTTTTATGTAATCACGTTGATTTTATTATCTGTAAAGATTTATGTTTGAGAAACAAAAAAAAAACTAGCAGCGGCAAGTTTATAAGTCAAATTCATAGTAAGGATAGTATGGACGATTCACTCTGATTGATTTTTTATAAACACACTTTTATATAAGGGAATGGCTGGCCTAAGATGAAGAAATTTAGTTAATCTACTATGTATTACCATAAGTATCTAAACCAATCATATTATAGTTTATTAATAAACTCACCAAAATTCGTTGACGTTCTATTATTCTGAAAAAATATTTAAAAATAAAAACCACTTAACAGACTGCTTAAAACAGGAAGAGATTGTATAAAATTTATTTTCATATAATCGTTACATAAAATAAAAGCCATCGATCGTCTTTTTAGAAACCAATTTCTGTAGAAAGGCCATCAAAAAAGTAGAAAGTGTAAGAACATAATATAGCAATATCCTTTTTACTAAAAGCTAAGAGTTGGCAGATGGAGCAGCCAATAAATAAGTTATCAAAGCATAATGGAGTGCGACAGGTAGCGCTATAGTCCGATCTGAGGCTCTTTTATTACGGTCAGAGCAGCTTGGCTTGTTCGATTGACGTTTCATGACATTCCTATTTAGAAGATTCCAATTTGTTGGTTTTCATTTGCTGATGGAGACTTCTTTTTATTTTATTTTATCCCTTGATCTTGCGTTTTTCTTGAATCAATGTGACAATATTGAACTTTTCATTTGTTCAATTATTATTTACTTAGGCTACAATTATTCAATAATAATATCGAATTTCATAGATCGATTTAAATCTTTTGATAGGAACTTGAAGATGAACTGAATTATTCCAACTATGTGTCGAATTACTTCACAAAAACAAGAATTCTTGAGTAATCTGCTGTGTATATCATTATCGACCTATTTTAGGAATTCATTTGTTTATTTATTAATATTTGATTGTAAAATATGCTGTGTTAACAATAGATAAACAAGTTGAAAACAAAACGAAACTAAACTAGATAAGGCTGAGTGATTGTGACTACTGCTATACAAGACACAACTCCTCATATAAATTTACGAAAATTACTTACTTAACTTACGAAAATAAGCTGTGAGAATTGTCAATGATACGTGCTCGCAGGCAGTATTGAACAATGGTTCAATACGCTTCACATACCATAATCTTACATAATGGTGTAAGACTAGAAATCTTGTCTGTCTGCGTGTAGTTCAACCGCTTGGATAATATAATGTGTTTCAGAGAACTATTTGACATAATGACAACGGATATTTTTTACGATGTTACCACTTGCTTTGAGAGGATGTAAATTTACACACCTTCATAGTATACAGTGCAATTTGAGAGGGATTTACTCAGGCATAAGCAACCGCTATAAATTAAAACCTTTTGGGCCTTTTTTCATAGGAATTATTCCATTGGATATGTTTCTTTTAGAGAAGTGTGAACAGGTAATTGAAAGATTAAGGTAATGCACTTCATATGACGGACTTCCATTATCTACCGTGACATTTTACCATCAGGCAGGCCGTACATATATTCGCCATAGGCACATTAATAATGTTTACTATAAAGCCAATATAAAAATAACTGTGAATGAAGGCAGAGCAGCATATAATACGATTTCCGAATTAGGTTAGCTTTTAGAAACTTCTCCTCAAATCCTCTAAGATAGTTAAGGGTTGAGATATTTACAAACACATACACACAGTAAGACAGATGTTCCGTTAAAGGCAACGCTTTCAATTTATTGACAGATATTTTTAGTTTTATTTGCTTTTATAATTAATTATTCTTTGAGCTATTAACACTGTATAAAATGACAAGCTTTACTTGTTTTATGTTGTGGAGCTTTGGAATGAGAACAATCCTCTTCAAGGCGAAATTGTTACGAGATTTCTGCTCGGAATTTAATCTAACTCCGAAATAGATATTTGGTCAAGAGTAACACCTACATTTAAATTCCACGATTGTTGTGGAAATTGGTTGTTAATGAAGGAAGCTACAAAAACTTTAGCTACAACTTAAATATATTTTACGACAAAAACTATTAGCATATAAAGTAGAATTATTTTTATATTTTATTGGAATATGTATAAATACTTATATACGTATATACCATTTCAATCTGGGATTTGTCATTTAAATTAAAATGAATCAAGAGTGTAACTATTGAAATGAAGAGCCTTACTCACCAGCGGTTAATACAATTATAATCAACCAAATTAATAATGTTTATTCATGATAAATAGCCACATTGTAATTTAAAGTGCGAGTGTTCGCCAGAAACGAGATTTATTGTTTTGGTTAATTAAAACACAAAACGTATTTTTCAATAAATAATTAACATTCTATCACTTTTATTTTATCCAGATATATAAGAAATAATTTAAATAAAACTCAAATTAATCAAAAACCCCACATAATAGACTTTAGTAAATATTTGTTGTATTAGTGATTTGCAAAATTATATGTCACGTTTTGAACAGCCAATGTCATTCATGTTAGAGTGTTTGATGTGTTCACATTAATGGTGTAAAAGTTAGGAGACGTCATGTCTGCGGTCTCTCAGACCCGAAAGGCCTCATGTTATGAGTCTCAAGGTTCCGAGGGCCGAGAGGCGAGCCTCATGTGACGTCATTACTCATCAAGAGTTATCGGTCCTCGGATGAAGGTGGGGGTGAATGTCATGGATCGTCCTTATTGAGGTTATATCCGTTTATAACATACATCCTCACCTTATTTGTCACGTTTACTTTATTATTGTCGTGAGTGTGATGAATTCGGCTCAAAGATAATTTATAATTATGTTAGACATGAGTAAAGCCTGCAATAAATTTAGCTAATATAGATTATTTTAGGATTATTAATAGGTTTACACATATACATTTGATTTTAACATTTATTATTTAATACAATGACTGTTTTTGTTTAACGGTTCCAAATTACATGAAAAATAGAGAGATTAAATAAAAACAAACAATTCATGTTCCTTCATATCAAAAAAGTAATGAATACTTACTAAGACTTCGTTTGATATGAAAACTCAATAAAAGAAAATATTCGACAAATTAAGTAAAAGCCCGTTCAAATTGTACTTTGTTGTCTCGATCAGAATTAGTAAAACGTAGATGAAAACAAAACGTAACATTAATATTTAGCCTTTTTTTTTTGAAACAGAATTGTGTATAAAGTGTATTCAATCCAAAGAAATATTTTAATCTGAATCAGCATCCTCGTTATCGGTATGAAGCAGGCGCTGAGCCTGAGCCGCTAGGAACACTCTCTCTCATCTCATACTCACTTTATTAAACAAACACCTCTGTATGCCAACGACCGCGACGTGCGATAAATACGAGTAGCGGCGACTAAAACTACCACCTTGTTTACTAACACTTGCTCACACTTCACTCATTACTTATATTTATTTCAGATGCATTATATTTGTTCAAATAATTATGTGTGAGTATTTAGATAAGACATTTGGATTTTGTCGATGTTAAATTTAGATTTTTTTTTTTAAAGTCACTAAGATTTAAAAAGCGACGCATAATTAAAGTTAGAGCTATAGATTCAGCGTTAAAAGAAATTATTATGGATAAAAAGGGAATATGTTATTTGTTATTAACTAATTGTTAAATAGTAATTAAAAAGATATGTACGTATGCAGAAATATTTATGACATATGGTGACGCGTAAAATAATATAACAGGTATATTTAATAAATATTTTGTATGTATAAATATATAGATAGATAAACTTAATTGCCGCTTGTTGCCAGACCCTTATGGTCAAATAAAAAGCAGTTTTCATTGACATCAAAAACGTTTCAAATTTTTTTATGTAACATGTCGTCATGCAAAATATTTAAATATTATATTTATTAAACTTTTTACTCTCCTAAGGTTAGGAATAGAATACAAGTTGAAACTGTCGGACATTCAGCTGAGTTTCATTTAGTACGGTAAATACGCAGGCATCTGAATTTAAAACATAGGAATTGGAGCGATAAAAAATATAGTTTAGAAGCTTAAAAAAACGATAACCTTACTGTAAGAAGAATCATCTACTACGGTGCTCTTGTTCTGGAAGGCTCACTGTACAAGTTGTATATTATGGTTACATCTATTACGAAAAATATTATTAATAATATCGTTCCTTTATTCCGGGTTTAAAAACATGACTGAGAATAAAGTACGTAGATTTACCATTAATATTAACAAATAGATTAATATTTACCAATAGTTATGAGTAAATTTAAATATAAATTGAATATCTTTTACAGTATGGATCGCTGCATAAGAATATGGAGGATAATTCTTTTGGAATTAAATTCTGGTTAGGCCATCGAACTAGTCAGTAACTGCAATAAAAAATACGACAAATTCATATTCATTAATTCATGTATGGTAAATACCAAATAAATAATGTTAAAAAAATATTTGTTTATAGGTAAAAATATGATTAAGTAAAAGAACTAATATGCAACAAGAGTTCACGGGAAATAGTTTAGAATAAGTTCGAAAGAGTTTTAATAATCATCGGAAAAAAAATCTTATTGACTAAAAAACATCTGCTTATGATTTTATGAATTAACTAATCAGGAAGTATTTATCTGTTATTGTTCGGCAATCACTCGAATTATTGAATGATTATTTTAAGTAATACCTTATAATAAAATATATCTGACTACATTTTATATTTAATAACTGTTTAGTTATTATCACTAATTCATTTGTTAACAAACGTTTTTTTCCATAAAGTAGATGTGATATTTAAAGAGGTTCGGTCGTGAAGGTCTCCGAAACGTTTACCAGCAATCAGTTACGTTGACTCGCTTAAATCTTTAAATCGTTTTTGTCGTATATGTATATTTAACCATATATCTCTTATCTTATTATATATGAATATTGTTACAAAACATTAAAAATATTAGGAGCTGATAAGGTTACTTTTGTGTACGGTATATAATTTTAATTTTAATGTGATTTATGAAGGTCTCCTAATTTAAGATTAGCATGTAAGCTATTATCAATGAAACAAGCCTATTCATTTTCAATCGGACGCCTTCCCCAACTTGTATAATAGCTCTAATGACTTCGACTCACCAGTCTTGATAGGCCGCCATTATGCTGACGTCATTACCGCCCTAGTGCTTCCGTTGGCAGGCTTTCTTTGTACCTCCCCATCCCATGTCATCCCGTGTCCTACCCGCACTGATTGATAACTGTCTTACCCTCAATGCCCAGTCAATATCTATTGGAATTTAATATTGCGTGCCTGAGAGGAAAATCTCCACGCCGGTTTTGTGTGGGGCGCAAATTGTCACTCAAATAAGACTACTCTCAAAAGAACCAGAAATGTTTTCATATTGTGTTAATACATGTTAATAATATTAATGTCACTATCGATAGTATAAAAAATAGCAATCTTATATTATTAGTTGGTCGATAGAGAGCCGGCACTTTGACCGCCCTATGGGATCAGATACCTAGAGTTTTATTTCTTTTTAAATTCCTCCATTAAAACATTTCAATCAACGTCAAAGAAATGAACAGTTGCACAGGATAACCACCGCAAAAAATAATAATAATCAAAAACATTTATATTAATGTGACGGGAAGTGGCTGTCGATGCTCATTAAAATACAATTTCAATAAATATAGAGATCGATACAGTGGCTCATAGTCATTAAACACAATATTTAATATAATAATTGTTTTTGGTGTCATTTTATTATAATCGTAATACACTCAACGTTCGTATTCATTTTTCAATTTAATCATTATATTAATCCTATTACAATACGGAGTTCGATATAAACGGATGCAAGTAGTTACATAATCCTATTATTAAACGTATATTATTGCAAAAAATTACAGTTTCTATACAGTATATTATAAATAACATTTTTTTATTAATTGTAGTTAAGTTAGTAGGTGAGGACTTAAGAGTATCTTCTGTAACGTTTTAAATGTAATTTATAAAAAAACTATTATAAAACTATTTTTTATAATACTTATAAAACTAATATGAGTACACAGAAAAAAAGGTTAACAATCCTTTTTTAAAGTAGTTTATATCTTAAGAGAAACAAGTAATTGTTAGTATCACATCGTTGTAAGCCACATTAAAATTGGAAGCATATTAAATTTTACTGTGAAAATAAGTAAAATATATTTTACTTATTTTCAGACGTTTTCTGATTGTTTTCTTATCGTTATTATATTGATATTTAATAAAGCATTGTGTTAAAAAATATATTGACACTAATGTTTTAATTAATAAATAATTGTTTTCTCTTTTTAACGTTTTTCTCACGAAAAGCTTTCACAGTGATACATCAATCCAGTTTGAAGAAAGGTCATTTTCAATGGATATTGTGAAGAACGACACAGAAGGAGTGTGTTTGGAAATTGAAAATAACGAGCTAAATTATTATTAATGACAATATGAACTGACTTCACACAGATTATATTAAATGTGTGCACAATAGTTTATTCAAATCTTTTATCTCATCATAATTTTAGGGAGACGGAGATCTAATGGCTGTTTTTAAAATGGATTGGAAATTCGAATAACTTTCAAGAACCCTCAATATACGTATCTGTCTCTTGCTGTATTTTATTGATTACTTTTATAGCAAAACATTTCGATGACAGGCCACGAAACACATCTATATTAGTAATAAGTACATATCTTCAACTCGTCCGCTCTAATATGTCGAACTTCCTTTTCTTATGTCTTGGTAGACACTCAACACATATAGTGCCAGTGATAATCAATTTGCTTCACACCAAATATTTGTAATTATTGTGAGTATTTTTCTTACTGACATATCTTCAGTTTCATGAAGATCACAAATCAATGGCGCTTGTATAATGTTGTGACTGGATTCAGGGTTCTGAATAATACAGATGGAAATTTATGATAATTTCAATATTAACAATATAAAACAGACACTGATAGCTTTTTACGATTAGTATTTATATTTTGTATTCTTTATATACGGGTATCTATAGATGAAGGAAGCGGTAATTTATACAAGGTATATAAGAGATTGTTGTCATTACCTCATAATTCCGACATTAAATTGAATGCACATGTGTTGTTAATAATACATAAATTCAAAGTAACTTAATTTTTACAATCACACTAATAATAAGAGTAATTTCATTGGCATATATGATCGATTTCAGGTACAAACTATAGTATGGAACACGTGAGGGAGTGATCTTCTTTAATACGTAATTTGTTTTTGTGTCTTGATACTCACATAGCCGGTCCTTGCGACACAGAGAACTTTAGCACCTGAAATTATTCTACTTTTATTCAATTTTTTCTTTCTATGCAAATTTCTATTAAGTGTTTTTTTATTCCTTTAGATATGTGTATGTTATACATATTTACTTTGACGATTTGAATAATTAAAAATATTTACGACAAACTTTATTTCGCATAAATCATGCAATCGCGCTATAAATTGATGTGGAAGATTTTGAATAAATTTTTTTTTGCTATTAACATTAAAATAAGGACATAACAATTTTCGTACAGTTAATCAGTTATTTATGTTCTAGTTATTGCTGAAAACGGTTATTAATTAAGTTATCTCATTTATAATATTGTTGAAAGTTCACCGGTTATTTATTATTTTTTTGTTCAAACTTAA